AATGCGCGCGGTAGCGAACGGAGCCAAACTGGTCCCCACTATATATAATGCGCTAAGTCTGTCTGTCTGTCTGTCTGTCTGTCACGAAATTCGGTATTAAGCGAACAACAACCTACAGGGTCCAGGTCAAGTTTGGGATGGGTATACCATATCCCTAGAAGTAAAAAACACACATCAGCCAAGCGGAGCCCCGCCCACAGTGGGCGTGGCGTGCATCGGTTGATTTCAAATTCAGTCACAAAACAGCCTCGAGACTGGGGACAAAAGTGGGTATAGGTGTGCGTTGGTAAGCCAGATCGAATGAGGAGACCCACCCTCGGTGGGCGGGGCGTTCTCTAAAAAAGCGGTGCTCAATGAAAATATTCATAACTCGGTTAGGAGAAAGCCTACAGAGCAGAAAAGAATTAGTGTAGGGGAGCAATGTCTAAGGTATTTCCAGCATACATGATGTGAACGGAGGCCCGCCCACAATGGGCGGAGCGTGTCCTGAAGTAGACGACGTTTTCTACAAGAGCTCATAAATCGGCTCCGAGATGACTTAGAGACCGGAAAACAGTGGATAGAGGTTAGGAGGGAGGAGAAGCTAAATGTCAAGGCTGGGCGTGGCTTACACCAAAGTGGGCGGAGTTTGCAACCAGGCTCATAACTCGGTTCCTATGAGTCCCGGGGTGTGGGAAAAGCGTATAAGGGTTGGCAGAGGGAAGGGGGTCAACTGCTGTTGGCGGGCGGGGCATGTACTAAAGTGGGCGGAGTTTCCCACGAAACTTGCCGGCTTTTCGAGCAAAAGGCTTCCGGGTGTGCTAGATAGCAATTTTAGCATTTTTTTTCTTCTTTTAGACTCGACCGAATTTCAACGAATCACCGTTCATTTCAGCTCTACAATTCTAACGGCTTACCTTCCCCTTCGGCTACCTCTATACCTCTAATATATTTATTTGCCTTTTTTTCTCCATTTCTTCCTCCCCTCATTCAATTATTATTTTTTTTCAATTGTTACATCCTATGCCAACTTGCCTTGTATTACTCGTTTTTTGCACTGTGAATGATAATATTTATTAGTTTTTTGATATCTTTAAGGCCCCCAATTACCCACTCTGTACCATCCTGGGTCCTCGGTTGAGGTTGGCGGACCTACTAAGCTGGTATCCGGAGTCGCGATCCCTCCCCGCGGCTTGCAGTGTATGGCCGGGGCACTGCCCTTCCTCTTCCTTTCGACCCATACCCCCTTCCCCCCCCTCATTGCTTCTGTGTCATGTAATCATGACTCTTCTATTGTTAACTTGCTGCTTTTTCTTTGTCCTCATTGTGATAATTGCGACACAATAGTTAAATAAATAAATAAATAAAAATAAATAAATAAACTTCATAACTCGGTTCCAAGAAGTTACGGAGATGGGGAAAAAGTAGAGAGTGGCTTTGCGTGGCACACCCTACGTGGTGGATGTTTGCAAGCCAGCTTATAACTCGGTTATTAGAAGTCACGGGGAAGGGAAATTAGGATAAGGGTTGGTGGAGGGAGCGAGGTTAACTGCCATTATTGGGTTAAGCAAGCATAAAAAGTGGGCGGGGTTTGCGACAAAAATTCATGTCTCATTGCGTCTCCTACAAGACCTCATAATTCGGCTCCGAGATGACTTAGAGACCTGAAAAAATGTGTGTGGAGGTGAGAGGAGGGAGAGGTTGAATGTGAACGCTGGGCGTGGCACACCCCGAAGTGGGCGGAGTTTGCCACCACTCTCATAACTCGGTTCCTAGAAGTCCCGGCGACCGGGAAAAAAGTGGATAAGGGTTGCGGAGGGAATGGGGTTAAATGCTATTGGTGGGCTAAGCATGCACAAAAAGTGGGCGGAGTTTGCGACGAAAATTCATGACACGATTCCAAGAAGCCCCGAAAACCGGGAAAAGGGTGGATAGAGGTGGGTGAAGGAAGGGAGCCCAACTGCTATTGGTGGGCGGGGTGTGCATCAAAGTGGGCGGAGTTTGCGACGAAAATAATAACTCGGTTCCAAGCGCCTAAAACCGGGAAAAGTAGATTGAGTTCACACGGAAAGGAGATCAACCGCTATTGGTGGGTGGAGCGTGCGTTGAAGTAGGCGATGTTTGTCACGTGATATTACAGAGGTTGAAAGAGAGCCCAGAGGCTGGGAAAAGTGGATAAAGGTTGGCGAAGGAATGGGGCCAAATGCTATTTGTGGGCGCCAAGGATTTGCGGAGTTTCCCACGGTGAACTATAAAAATATCAATGGCCCTGTTTCCTATCAATGCGGTCCCGTGTGATGCACGCGCAATGCGTGCGCCGCTAAACTGGTATTCATAATCGCCTGTGTGTGTGTGTGTGTGTGTGTGTGTGTGTGTGTGTGTGTGTGTGTGTGTGTGTGTGTGTGTGTGTGTGTGTGTGTGTGTGTGTGTGTGTGTGTGTGTGTGTGTGTGTGTGTGTGTGTGTGTGTGTGTGTGTGTGTGTGTGTGTGTGTGTGTGTGGTGTGTGTGTGTGTGTGTGTGTGTGTGTGTGGTGTGTGTGTGTGTGTGTGTGTGTGTGTGGGTGTGTGGTGTGTGTGTGTGTGTGTGTGGTGTGTGTGTGTGTGTGTGTGTGTGTGTGTGTGTGTGTGTGTGTGTGTGTGTGTGTGTGTGTGTGTGTGTGTGTGTGTGTGTGTGTGTGTGTGTGTGTGTGTGTGTGTGTGTGTGTGTGTGTGTGTGTGTGTGTGTGTGTGTGTGTGTGTGTGTGTGTGTGTGTGTGTGTGTGTGTGTGTGTGTGTGTGTGTGTGTGTGTGTGTGTGGTGTGTGTGTGTGTGTGTGTGGTGTGTGTGTGTGTGTGTGTGTGTGTGTGTGTGTGTGTGTGTGTGTGTGTGTGTGTGTGTGTGTGTGTGTGTGTGTGTGGTGTGTGTGTGTGTGTGTGTGTGTGTGTGTGTGTGTGTGTGTGTGTGTGTGTGTGTGTGTGTGTGTGTGTGTGTGTGTGTGTGTGTGTGTGTGTGTGTGTGTGTGTGTGTGTGTGTGTGTGTGTGTGTGTGTGTGTGTGTGTGTGTGTGTGTGTGTGTGTGTGTGTGTGTGTGTGTGTGTGTGTGTGTGTGTGTGTGTGTGTGTGTGTGTGTGTGTGTGTGTGTGTGTGTGTGTGTGTGTGTGTGTGTGTGTGTGTGTGTGTGTGTGTGTGTGTGTGTGTGTGTGTGTGTGTGTGTGTGTGTGTGTGTGATCCCATTAGTCAACCGACACTTCATATCCCGCTTCGCTACATCGTCGCGCCTATGGAAATACGGTAAGTCTTAATGTCTATCTTAAATCCACCGACGCATGAATGTTTATTCGACGCTAAACCATCCCATCATCCACACGGTAGATGTTTCCCAACGGCTTATAATAAGCAACCATGTAATTCTATCAGTTATCAAAACTCATTCGGCCGCTAGACTGTGTTAATTCTAGAAAAATAAAATCGTAAGACTGGCCGTAGTGCGACGGAAGGACACAGCGCTGCGAGAAGAAGAGAGAAAACACGAGAGAGCACGTAGTTCGCGAGAGGGCGCAGACGTCACGTATGCCGCATTTGGTAACGAATGTGGCACGGCAGCACACAAGACCAAGCTATAGAGCCTTCGCTGCCCACTTTTGAGTAGCTGCAATGTTACGACTCGTGGGTTCAGAGATCCCTCTTTCCCACTCTAGTAGGGACACCTCTTCGCACTTAATCCCGATCCGTGATGTTCAAGTATTTTCAGAAGATTTGTGCAATAAAGCAAAAGAATAAATCCACAACGGCATCGACCTCATGGGTCCCGCCCATGAACCCCACCGTTACCGCTGCGCTTTGCGAATTCATAACACTTCAGAGAATCGTTCAACGTGTTTGGAAAAAAGATATAAACTCAGCACTCAAAGGCTCATAGGGTACATCTTATCTTGAACAACCATGGATACCAGATGGGATCCTAGTAAGCGCAACAGAAGTCTGTAACGTGCTCAGCAAAGCACGTTACGAGAACCGCGGCTGCTGCCGGTGTGGAGCTGGATTAGAATAAAGCTCCAAGCATGCGGTGTTGACCAAACCTTCTGGGATGCGTTCGTGTATTTTAGTTGGAGGCGGACTTCACGATGAAAAGTCATAGCTCATTGGAAATAAGAAAAGAGGTGATCAGTTGTACAGCGATGAAGACGAAACCATGGGAAACGGCCCAGAACCCGAGAAATGGGACTCCTTCCTTTCCCGTTGATTTCCGCATTGATGCTCATCGCTGTGCCTCTTCAACGCTAACGCTCTCTCTGCTATCTAATCACTCGCCGCGTATAGACCTGCGGCGAGTGATTAGCCTGTCGGTGGCGTTCCCTGCCAATGGAAAGGTCGCGCTTGATTGCCGGGGCATATCCTTCGATGCGAATTGCGTGTTGGTCCGCACCCTTGAGGGGTCCGCCTGTCCCTCAACTAGGTAGGTCTCCCGTTTTCGACCTTCGTTCTAATTGTGAAATATTCCTTAAAATGCCAACCCCGGGATTAACCCAACTAATAGGAAGGATATCTCCGAGGAAGTTGTAGGGTCTTGCTTACGTAAATCTTGCTAGCTTCGTCGCAAAAATTGCGCGGTTAGGGCGCTAATCCTTACGGGCCTGCAACCATCGACCCCCCTTGCAACGCTCCCCACCCACCGCGTTGATGTAGAAGATCAGCGTGCTCTCTCAAACGGTGCATTCTCCCGCGTATTCTGCCTTCTAGACAGCTCAGTCTGTCGTACCTTACTATGATCGAGGCCTCAGTTTTTGCGTTTCCGACTATTTCTCTTGCCTTCCTTTGCGCTTTTAGTTCATTCCGTAGCTCAATCATCACTACAGTCCTTTTATACACCAGCTTTCACGGGGGCTTGCCTTAAAATTTAGCCAATGTATAATATTATACAACTCTGTTCCTCTACATTTCTAAGATTTTTGTGTCAGTCATCCCGGCGGGTTTTTTTGATTTGAGGAATTACCCCGGGCGCTAGGTAAATGCACCAACTCCGTCCAACATATGACTGAGTGAAATGCAGCCCTTATGTGCGCATCAGAAATGGAAGTCCCAGAATTTTGATCAAAGCCTCTTTAAGGCAAATACGTAGCACTCCCAAGAACCGCAGTGGATGAAGCGTTGATGCGAAAAATGAAGGTTGGCGAAACAATTGAATGTCATTGCACAGGAAAAAACTGTGGACAAGCATATTTACCAGGCATTGAGGTAAAGTTTCAGCAGCTCACGCTGTGCGAATCAGGGTCAACCGTCACGTTCGAACATTTTCGGGATTTTTGCGACCCCCTAGCTCTCGAGGGGGTCCAGTTGCGACCCCCTGTTTTTGTTAATAAGAGTGCTAGACATGAATCCGTTGCGCCAGAAAGCGTCTGCGCGTCGTCGCGTCGGCCTTGGAGCGCGGCAGGTATCACCCGGGCGCTGGAAGAACGGGACGCGGCGAAGAAAAAATTTTAGAGGGGAATAACTTTCTTGGGACGTATTTTTTGACTTGTTGAGGTAGATTTTGATTGTGCCTGAGGTGCGCTTTCAGAAAACTACAAGGATTGCCTAACTCTCCGGAAAGTACTTCTGTTAGAAGTGGAAAACCCAAAATTCTAAGAAGGCGCACCTTCAACTTTGAAGGCCCATAAAATCTTTCGTATGCGACATTTTGGAAATCTGTAAAAAGTTTCAGAAACTTCAAATATTTCTCTAACAAAATAGTATAAAAAGTTTAGTGATTGTCCCCTTTTTCAAAAAATTGTCCCGTTCGAACATTTTTCGTGCAAAAGCGAGTTTTTGGGCTTTCAGCGACCATAACTCACTTCATTTTCATTTCTGTGATGCACTTTTTTCATGGGGTGAAAGTACAGGATTTGCTCTTCTAACAAGCCCAAACCGTTTTTCAAAGTTCATTTTTCGAGAAAATCACACGTTCGAACATTTTGGGGGGTTTTGCCGAACACTTTTTTTGAAATCGCGAGTTTTTGGGCTTTAAGCGGGCATAACTCACTTCATTTTCATTTCTGTGATGCACTTTTTTCATGGGGTGAAAGTACAGGATTTGCTCTTTCTGACAAGCACCAAACCGTTTTTCAAAATCCATTTTCCGAGAAAATCACACGTTCGAACATTTTGTTCCCATAGGTTTTTGAGCAGCACATGCGAGTTTTTGAGCTTTCAGCAATAATAACTTCCTTCAAAGAACTTGTTGGGGAGGGGCGAAGACATTTTTGAAGACTACGAGATTTCTGCTTTCTTATGTGTTTTACCGTTTGTCTGGAAGAATCGTCCTCAGAAAATCAGGTCCCGAAGAACTTTAATTTCAGCCCCGAGAAGTCAAACCTTTCATAGGGATGCATTCAACTGTTCTTATTCCTCAAGGAAAACACCGTAATTTGCCTAAAACTGTCTCTCTGTGCATAATTAATCGAATCTAATGCGGTCTGCACAAACAATTCTTGCCCTCGGATACGCCACGCACGCGCCTGTGGCTGGCAGTCCTCGAAATTGCGACCCCCTTCCGACCAAAATGCGACCCCTTCGTTCGAACAGTTCGAACAGGACGGTTGACCCTGGTGCGACTTGCTCCTCTTATATCATTCTGGGTATAGCTTTACAGGAGGCACTCGACCGTACTACTAGTGTGCTTAAAGATGAAAGAAACTGCATCAAGAATGATCTCAGAAAGCAGATCAAAGTTCCTCCATCAGTACCACAACCTGGCCATTCGCAACCACCACACATACCTCAACAGCCACCACTACCACCTGGCTTTCCACAACCGTCACAAGCTCCACAACAGCCAAAAACGCCACCTAAACAGCCACCACTACCACCTGGCTTTCCACAAACCCCACAACCGCCTAGACAGCCACCCACTACGACCTGGGTTTCCACAACCCACACAACCGCCTAGACAGCCACCACTACCACCTGGCTTTCACAAACGCCTAGACAGCCACCACTACCACCTGGCTTTCCACAAACGCCTAGACAGCCACCACTACCACCTCACTTTCCACCTGGTCGTCCACAACAGACATACACACCTCGAACAAGACCACCAACTGTAACACAAACACCATCTATCCCACCCAGAACTGCTTCTACCGAGCAAACAACAGAAGAAGAAATTACGACTACAAGTGCTGATGAGACAACAACTACAAGTGAATCTGACGGTAAAATTTCCATATCATTTTCTAAAGTTACCACCTTTACTTCAAACGAATTTCCTATCGATTGCCGCCAGAACCTAGGCCAAATTACAGCTCAATGAGTGACTAAGTGAAGATTCTGCCTCGAGTCAAGAACACACTTCAATTGTCACTAGATATCATTTTGGAATGGGGGAAGCTTCTGCAGTTACCCCTACATGAAGTTTCATGCGTCATTCCTTTTGAAGACGAGTTCTAGCTTTAGTCTCACTGAAGTAGTCACTCCCGTGAACAGAGCTGTGAGCTCCGTCACTACGTGGTTCGCGCTATCTTCGCACATCGAAATGCTGAACTGAACAAAATTGTAACTTAAGGCAAGAATCAGGATTAAATTGATGGGGTGATTCCACTCAAATGTGAAAGTAGGGATGGGAGGTGGACCGCCAGTGGAGAAAAAAGGAAAGAAAATCCTGAAATACACAGGAAATACGAGCATTTTGCTCCATGCTGTGGAGAAGTTCAAAAGACAGGCAGGGAGATGAGAGATAATGTGAGCGCGGAGAGTGGTAGAGAAGTCCGAGAGAGAGCATAGCAGACGCTGCGACGCAGACAAGATATCGAGCGGTGGGCGGACCATTTGAGTTTGGTGGAAATTGGAAAAATGGAAATGGAAAATTTGGTGGGTCTGTTAGAAATCCATGGCGCCTAGGTCCTAGTGACGCGCTTTCGATGTAGAAAGGTGGCGCTACCTTTGCACTTGCGTCCCCAGCACTTCTAGCCGTGATAAGGGCTTTTTGAGCGGGCTGAACCCGAATTTTGCCTTCAGAACATAGGGCGGAAAGGCTCGGATTTCCTGTGATTCTTACGATTTTCTTTCCATTTTTCTGCACTTGCAGTCCCCTTTTGATCCTTGCCCCAAAGGCACAGGTCCAAGTCGAATTGGTACGTTTTAAATGTTAGACAAAAAGTACGCACGGAGGCGGAGGGACAGCGCTGCGAGGGGAAAAAAATACGAGAGAGCACGTCGTACGGATAGGGGGCACACATCACGTATACTGCGATTGATGACACTGGTAGCGGTCGCAGCGACCTAGCGTAGGGATCGACTTCCGTGTCGATCACTTCCAAGACACGACGATACTCTCTCCCCCCTTACTAGGGGTACTGTTGCCTCACCCAGAGACAGAATTCCTCTAACGATCTCATCGTGTCCTCTGCTATGAGGCCACTTTTTGTCACTTCATCCGTCCAAGAATGCCTGTTAGCAAATGGAGTTTTCCTCTTTTCAAAAACATTCAAAAACCGTAGTGTGTTCAGAGGTGGGCGCTTGGGTGAAAACCCTCAGATCCCTAGGTTTTTTATATCCCCTGTAACCAATACGATTGAAGCAAAGAAGAGAACATGATGGTCTGGGGAGCGACTAACGGCTCCTGCTCACTCGGAGGCTCGTTGTTAGCAGAGCGAGATTCTGAAGTGTTTTGGCGGCCTTCTTTCCAACACCTAGAACAATTCAATCTCATGGATCGTGAAGATGTGGTGCAGAACCATGAGTTACTGTATCGAGCGAAGTTATTCACCATTTCTTTCAGAAGCGACAACTATGGCATCCGAGACGCAGACAAAGTTGGAAAGTGTCGTCAGTGTAAGATCCAAATATTTTTACCTTCAAATCAGCTGAACCATTGAAAACGATGAATGGCGCCAAGCAGCCGCCCAGGTCTCGAACAAAATTCAGATCCTCTTATTTGCTTCCTGGACCGTGTGCGTAAACTTCTCTACAAAAACCCGAACTAGACACGCCTTAAATATCCAAGTGACATGAGCAGTCCTGACGCAGTCCTCGAAAATTCGCGCAAATAGGGCGAAATCGCGGTTTCGTTTCATGCCTTTGGTATAGGTCAATTTACAGTCGAATCAGAAATCAGGAAAACAGGATTCAAAAAGAGCG